AATAAAAATAAATAAATAAAAAGTTATATGAAGCGAGACCATGACGTGGTGGATATAACCACGACGTGGTTGCGTCTTAGAGAAAAATGAAAATAAACAAATGCAACCAAATTAGTGAGAAACTTGAGCATAGAAAAATAATTCAATCAAAGATAATCAATACCTGGCAATGGTGCCAAAATTTTGGTGGTTGTCGAGACTACCATATAAAAAACCTAACAACGATACAATACAAAATGAATTGCAGTGTGGTAATTAATAGGGATTGAATCCACAAGGATAATGGAATTAACGAGGATTCGGATCCATATATTAGGAAAACTACAAGTTATTTAGTCATAATTATCTATCTTATTCGTTTTTATCTTGTTCCTATTAGATTATAGTTATTTGAGATCCTAGTATATAAGGAGAATGCATTTGTTTTGTACGTATTGAGAATTCAATCAATAAAACAGAAACATTGCATGTTATCAGATTCTTTATGGTATCAGAAGCCTAGATCCATCCCACGTCGGCGACGATCATGACAGTAGATAAGGGAGAAGGAAGCAAGAAGCCCAAAAAAACCATCGATGCCAACTCACCCTACTACATCCATCCATCTGATTACCCCAAAATAAATGTATGTTAATGATGTGTTGAATGACAACAACTTCAACGAATGGAAACATAAGATGATAAATTTCTTGTTTGCACATAACAAAATACAACTGGTCGATAGATCAATTAAGAAGCCAAAATCTACATCTCCCATGTACATGACATGGATGTGAGTCGATGCCATGATCAAGGGTTGCCTGACAACGGCAATGGAAATAGACATCTGAACCAGTGTAAGATATGCAAACATCGCAACTGAAATTTGGAAGGACCTGGAAGAACTATTCGAGAAGGAGGGAGCACCTCACTCCTACGAGTTGAAACAGTGTTTGAATGCCACAAGACAAGACAAAGCTTATGTTTCATCCTACTACACGAAGTTAAGGAATATATGGGATGAACTGCAACTTGTCCTTCCTACATCTCGATGCACCTGTGATGGGTGTGATTGTGCCCTGGGAAAGAGGTTGAATGAACTGAAGGAGAAGGAAAGAATTTATGAATTCCTTATGGGGCTTGATGAAGACTTTTCCATCATCCGCACCCAAATTCTAGCCATGAAACCTGCACCATCTTTGGGAGCAACCTGTCACCTAGTGGATGAGGATGAGCACCAACGAGTGATCGTCGGAGGTTCGAGAAAAACAAGCAGATAAGTAGCATCCTTTCAAGTAAATATGATGGGCAAGAAAATGCCATGCCATGCACAAGTCGGATAAATTGTATAAACGGCTAACAAAGGACCACAAAGAACCTTGAAACAAAGGAACGACAAGGCAGCAAAATGTACTTTCTAAGGAAGGTCATAACAAATATGGATGCTTCAAGAAAATAGAGTACTCTAATTGGTGGCATGGGAAGAAAGACAAACAAAAACCAAAGGTAGTTTGTGTAGAGGTGGGACCCAACCCTATACCGGGGTTGACATATGAACAATATCGCCTATTCGTTGAGCACGTCAAGGAAGAGGGAGTTAATGAGTCCAATCCAAAGGCTAACATGTCAGGTAGAAACAACACATATGACAGATGGGTGGTGGACTCGGGTGAAACCGAGCATATCACACATATAAGTGATTTTCTTGACAATAAAGTCACTAACCCAAAGGAAACACCCGTCATCATTCCCAATGGTAACAAGGTATCCGTCATGGGCGAGGGTGAACACACCCTACCAGGGGGTCTCAAAATCAATGGAGTTTTACATGTTCCTGATTTCAATTATAATCTATTGTCTGTTAATAAGCTTGAAAAGAATCTCAGTTGTGTTATAACATTTTTCCCTGATTTCTTTGTAATGCAGAAATTGGTGACGAGGGAATTGATTGGTGCGGGTAATTGCATTGGAGTATTATATCGAATGGGGGTGATGGAAAGGAAGGCTCTCATGACAACTTTTGAGGTTTGGCATAAAAGACTTAGTCATCTATCACCCAAAAATATTCAAATTTGAGCTTTGTTAAAGATGTGTCTAGGAATAGTCAAGCTGATGTGTGTGATGCTTGTTTTAAGGATAAGCATACTAGGCTCCCATTCCCATTAGTGTAATAAAGACTACTACTTGTTTTGATCTTATACATTGTGATGTATGGGGGAAGTACATAACCTGATCACTCTCAAAAGATTTTTATTTCTTAAAAATAGTAGATGATTTTAGCCGATCTGTATGGACTTTTCTTCTTAAGCATAAACATGAGGCAAGCACATGTCTCATAAATTTTCACAAAATGATCAAAACACAATTTGGGAAAGAAATCAAACGGATAAGGTGTGACAACGGGGGATAATTTGTCTCAATCAGGATGCATGATTTTTATGCAAATAAGGGATAGTTTTGGAAACCTCTTGCCCATACACCCCACAACAAAATGGGGTTGTGGAACGCAAGCATGAACACTGGATAGAAAAGGCTCGTGCTCTCCGTTTCAAGCCAACCTCCCCAAAACCTTTTTGGGTGAATGTGTCTTGACAGCCACTTATGCTATAAACCAGCTTCCTTCCAAAGAACTTCATGGTGCTACTCCCTATGAGATTCTTTTCAACCAACCAGCAAGTTATGAACACATGCATGTGTTTGGATGTTTGCCTTATTATCGGAGTACCGAGACCAGAGGAGACAAGTTTGAACCACGTGGTAGACCCGAGGTGTTTGTTAGATATCCCCACGACACAAAAGGCTACAATATCTATGACCTCGAACACAAGAATGTGGTAATCTCAAGGGATGTAAGATTCCTTGAAAATGAAATCCCAATGAAGCATGTACATGACAGTAAGGAGATACAAAAAGAAGAAGAAGATTTCTTTCACTTCAATGATAAGGAAGTCACGCTTGTTGTTCAAAATAGAGTCATACCTCCTGTTCAGAATTCTTCCATGGTCGAGAGTCATATTCATGGAGAAGTGACAGATGACAACGAGGATGAGTACGATTCAAGCCAAGGCAAATACGTGTCATCCCCCTTAAATGATTCCTTTACTGAGGTTGAAGATGAACCCATGCAGACTGGTCACAACATAAACCATGAGACCAATGATGCTTGTCAATGAAGAGAAACTTGAACCAAATCTCAGCCCACTCGATACAAAGATTATGAAGTAAAGCTGCCCCCTTCGATCAATCATCCACAACCTGAAACCGATCAGGTTGCCTCAAAGGTACATCCTCTTACTAACTATGTCTCATATGAAAATTTTTCTAAAGCTCACAGGTCCTTCTTAGCTACCATCACTACACACGATGAGCCCAAATGTTTTAGTCATGCAGTTTGAGCTGAGCGATGGAAGAAAGAAATGCAAAGGAAGATTGACGCCCTTGAATAAAATAAGACTTAGGAGCTTACAAACTTGTTTGAAGGCAAGAAGGCCATAGACTCCAAATGGATATACAAAGTAAAGTATAATCTAAATGGACACGTGGAGTGGTACAAGGCCCGTCTTGTCGCAAAGGGTTATACTCAAATGGAAGGCGTAGATTTTCATGACACCTTTGCCCCGGTTATGAAGCTCGTCACGATACATCTGTTGCTAACAATAGCAGTTAAACGTGATTGGATCATACATCAATTAGATGTAAATAATGCGTTCTTACATGGCGATCTAGAAGAGGATATATATACATGAAAATACCATAGTGTTTTAGAAAATAAATTGAGACACGTGTTTGCAAGCTCAAGAAATCCTTATACGGTTTAAAACAAGCTTCAAGGAATTGGTATCATAAGTTCACAACAACCCTTCAAAATCTTGAATTTCGACAGTCCCATGCAGATCACTCCCTTTTCGTTCATAAAAATGAAGATACATTTATGGCAGCCCTTATCTATATGGACAACATCATCATCGTTGGGAATAATAAGGGGAAGACTGAGGACACTAAAACAAGTCTTGATAATAGTTTTAGTATCAAAGACCTTAGGAATTTTAAGTACTTCTTGGGAATAGTGGTAGCTCACACAGAAGAAGGAATAGTTCCAAGTCAGCGAAAGTATACCGTTGATGTCTTGGAAGATTCTAGACTGCTTGGTTGTCGACCTAGTCGGTTCCCAATGGAACAAATCTGAAGTTAGACAAGGGAGAAGATGAAGATCGTATTGATGCAAGCATGTATAGACACCTTGTTGGTAGACTTCTATACCTTCAGCCTTCAGGCAACCAAACTCGATATAACCTACACTATAAATATGCTTAGCCAATTCGTTTCCGACTCCAAACAAAACCATTGGGATGCAGCCTTGAGAGTGCTTCGCTGCCTCAAGACCATGTTGGGACAAGGAATACTTCTACCAAAGAGGAGGGACGGACCTAACTGCTTATAGTGATCCAGGCCCGTTAGGATGCCCTTTCTTACGAAGATCACGAATGAGATATTTGTTGATTTTAGGTGGTGCTCCAATTTCTTGGAAGTCCAAGAAGCAATTTGTTGTCTCCAGATCCTCAGCTGAAGCTGAGTACCGAGCAACGGCTACCACTGTAAGTGAAATCATATGGATACGTTGGTTGTTGACGAAATTTGGTGTTGCTTTGAACACACCAACACCTCTTTTGTGCGACAATGAGTCAGCCCTTCACATCAAGGTTATCGATAGCGATAGCGAGGAAATAGCGACAACCCACCTATATGCTACGTAGCGATAGCGATGAAATAGCGACAGCTATTTCATGTTTTGTGATTTCATATAAAATTAAACACTATATTTACCTGCACCTATTCAACAATTAAAAATAACACATAGAACTAACAAGTATCAGTTCTATTAAGCTAACATTAAGTTCCAAAAGATTTTTACCACAAAAGATTGGTTAGTTTTAGACTCTAAAGTCTAAAATTAAGTTCTAATACCACAAAAGAGAGTGTTATGACTCTAAAAGTCTAAACTCTAAAATACCACTAATCGACTAATCATTATCCTCATCCTCCTCAAATACGAGTTCATCTTCCCCCTCTATTTCAACAAACTCCTTATAAACCCCAGCATCATTTTCCTCTTCAGGTTCATTTACTAAATGGGGTTGTCTAGCTCTAGCTCTACCTTGTGAGCTTGACTCGGCAACCCCAACAGCCCCTTGCATCCCCCCTTGCCTCCCACCTGGTGTTGTTGTTCTTCTAGTTAGATGAACCGGCTCATCCACCCCCATAGCCTCTGCCATAACATCCCATCTCAAGTCATCACCCTCAAACACGAGACCATCATCATCACTCGCCAACCACTCAAACGGGTCATGTATGTGCGAGTCTTCCAAGATGATCGGGTCGATCATATCCCGCATATCATACCTCCTCCTTAATGCTCGATTATATTTGATGTAAACTAAATCATTTAGTTTTTGTCGTTCAAGACAGTTTCTTTTTTTCGAATGGATCTACAAAAATAAAATTAAACCATTAGTAAATAGTGCAAAGGATATTAATCTTAAAAAAATGAACAACTTACATGTTCAAAAACACTCCAGTTACGCTCACACCCTGATGAACTACGAGTAAGACTCAACACCTTCACAGCAAACTTCTTAAGTGTTGGTGCTGATGATCCATATTGTATCCACCATTTCGCTGGTGCAAGTGTTGTTCTTAATTTAACAGCCATATGTTGCGCAAATAACTCTTCTGCACTAGTATATATAAAGAGCTCTTGGTGAATCTTGGTCTCGTCTTCTTCTGATGACATCTTATGTATGCATGCCATCAAGCCCTTAATCACCTCACTATCTTCTTTCACTCCTAGGTTGTTGTAAAAAATACTTGGATTTAGATAGTGACCAGCCGCATGCAAATCTTAATGAAGTTGACAATTCCACCTGTCATCAATAATTTTGAAGAAAGCTTTGTATTTGTTGTTGAATAAGTATGCAATATGCTCCTTTGCCCTATCCATGGCTTCATAAATGTACCCCATAGCCGGCTTTCTTTCACTATATACCAATCGAAGCACCGCTAGTAATGGTTCACCAACTTTGACAGCAATATCAATGTTAATCCAAAAACTAGGTGAAAAAATAGTTGCGACACATTGAGTTCCTCCCTCCTCCCCTTTGAACCTGCTTTTGTTCCAAGCTTCAGACGTGAACAACTTCTTCAAACTTGTCTTATGACTCCTAAAGCAATTTAGAGTTAAGAGGGCGGTTGCAAACCGAGTCTTTGGAGCCTAATCATATCTCTTTGACCCGTAAAGTCTCTCAACATATTCAAGAGCAATGTACGGTTGTAAATGTAAGTGTTAACCGCAATTGCTTTGTCTAGTGTCTTCTTAAGATGAGTCACTTTGAAGATGTCTTCAAGCATGAGATCAATGCAATGCGTAGCACACGGAGTCCAATAGATGTGTGAATATTTTGCTTCCACCATTTTCCCCGCCAAAACATTGTTTGCAGCACTATCTGTTACAATTTGAACCACATGATCGGGTCCAGTTTAAAAGTCTTACCTTTTTGAAGTTGAACAATCGAGATGGATTCTGGAGTAGTTGGAGTCGTCCGGGGAGAAGGGGAGATGTGTTGTTGTCGCTACTGTCGCAGAAGTGGGAAATAACCCGCCAAAATCTATTTTGGTGATTTTGGCGCCATCATACAATCTTAGGTCGATTAGACGAGAAGACACGGAATTGACTATACTATTCCCCGCCTAAACCAATTCTGACCCTAATTGCTACGTATCTTAACGATTTAAACAAAAAAAATCAATTTTTCCTGATCGCTATACACACTATTTCATCGCTACAGGCATGGTAGCGACCCAACAAAGCTACGCTACGCTATTCACTATAGCGAGGATAGCGATCGCTATTAACAACCCTGCTTCACATTGCTCACAATCCGATCTTTCATGAGTGTATAAAGAATGTAGAAATGGATTGCTACTTTGTAAGAGAACGTGTAGAGTCCAAAGAGATAGTCCCTGTAAGGATCAAAACGCAAGACCAGTTTGCTGATTTACCAACTAAACCACTTGCTTCAGAACGTCTCAAGCTACTATCGGGCAAGTTGGGCATTCTGAACCTCATGCTCCAACTTGAGTGGGAGTAATGGAATTAACGGGGATATGGATCCTTCTATTGGGATAACTACAAATTATTTGGTCATATTTATATATCTTAGTCGATTTTATCTTTTTCCTATCAGATTATAGTTAGTTGAGATCCTATTATATAAGGACAATGCACTTGCTTTGTACGTATTGAGAATTCAATCAATAAAATAGAAACATTGCATGTTATCAGATTCTTTAAAGGATTGGCTCAAATCATTTCTATGCATTGATTTTATACAAAACAAAATATACAATGATATGAGGTTTTCTCAAAATGTTAAATGCGATAAAAACTAATATATAAAAATGACTAAAATGCAAAAATATAAATCCTATAAACAAAATGTTCCAATATCATGACAAATCGCAAGTTCAATTAGTTGACTAATCATCATAATTTTATGGTGCAATAGGTTTGATGGATTCTAATTTAGCTATATGAACTCCAGAATGTTTGATATTATCTAGACCATACTTAATTAGTATAACGGTTAGAGCTTTATAATATATTTTCTTAGTTAAAGACACAAATCAATGAATCGTGTAATTTATGAAAACCAACTAGCAATAAAATTTAAGAGCTATCAAATCCAAAAGAAAAAAATCAATATGATTATATTACCGTTGTGATGGAAATACTTTCTTGATTTAAATAAAATGAAAACAAGCACTTATACCAGTTGTTGCTTATTAATTTAAAGATCCATTACTTAATTATGATTAACCAACAAGATAAAAATTCACATATCCTAACTCATGATTAAAGATATATGAACATAGATAGATGTTTTGCTAGAAAATAGGTACATAGTAATATAATATCATCAAACCTATACAAAATTATTCTTAATCAACTAATTGTTTATTCACCTAATATTAAATATAAAAACTAATTACTCATAATAATAACAATAAAAATTATACCAATAACAATTGCAAAATGAGGATGACAAAAACTTATTGAAATTGTCATTTCTTGTTGCTCCAAAAACTCGATCCAATTTCAAAATATCAATACAAAAATTAGCAAACCTCCTAAAAACGAAAATGAAAACAAAAAAGATTAGGGGTTTCTGAACCCTAACTCTCCATATATGCAAACTCCTGAAAACGATATGAACACATAGTATTGAATATGAATCCGTCGAAACTATGTTTTTTAGAAATAAAAACCTACTGAAAACGAAATCGGTGGAGAAGAAGATATATGTTCATGCTTTTCGGATCCAGAATGTCATCAATGTTGTTCGTCTTCTCCAGATGTCAAGGACTCAACTCTATCAGAAAACCGTAGATCTCTAGTAAGCCTAACGTCGACGTTGTTGGTGAGATCTGAAACCTTAGCTTGTGTTTTCAAATCTGGGAGAGAGCGGGTTTCGTTGCGGCATTCCAATGAGGAGGGCGGTGTTCCGGCGATGAGGGCGACGTTCGGCGATGAGGGCGGCATTCTAGCAAGGAGGTTGGTGGTAGTGGTATCTTTTAGTTGTGAAAATCAATGAGCAATATGAGAATTGTAAGATAGGGAGGAGAGGGGTAAGGGTAGTATTTTATTTTATTTTTTTAATTGTTGTGTAAAGACATGTAAACTGACAAATATGTCATCACATGAAGAACTTGTGACCAACTTAACGGGAGAAGATAACGGCAATTAACTCAAGGTACCAAATCTGCATAGAAGTTTCAAATTTGGATCATTTGTGCGAGTAAAGAAAAATTAGACCCAACCTACATTTATTGGTAAACCACATAGACCATCTAAAAAAAAGTTTTGTTTGTCTGTATAGTTTCAAAAGTAGGATAGGTTGGAGAAAATCATATTCCATTGTGCCAACCATTTAAAAAAAATATCATGCACCTTCTTGTCAATTGTCCAACCTAAAAATGCGTATAGAGATAAATAGGGATAGAAATTTCGAAATTGTTTATGGTTTATGAAAATCGTACAACTATAAATAGAGGGGCTGTAATAATGGAATTCGCAACTCCGGTGTCATTTTTTTCATTTTGTTAAAAGGGTGGTCAATTTGTGATATGTATTATTTTTCATGATTGCCCCGTTACATTATGTTTTTTTTATTACAAATACACACAGTGAGGGTTCATCGTAACATGGAAATAACTACAAATTTTAATCCCTAATAGTGGCTTTAGAGAGGAACGACTTATCAGATCAAATACAACATGATTATCAGTTTTATCTTAGCCTATATTTATTTGATACGAAAATGTATTAAAATGATATGAGCAAACAAAAGTGTAACGATTCCTTTATTATATCGTTAACCAAAATCAGTATCTTGTAATAACTAATGAACAAAAGTATAAACTGAGCATGGTTTACCCAAATAAACAACAAATCAGAGAAACTATTGTACTCATCTTTTAGTTTTAGGACAAAAATGATTGAGGGAGACATCTCAATTCTCAACTCCAAAAAGAAAAAGAAAAAGAGAATGAATTGGCTAATATATGCACAGAGCATTAGTACCCTCAAAGACATTATATTCCAGAAATCCCCAACCCCAATGAAAAAAGCATATACAATATATGCACAAAAATAAAGCTTAAAAAACCTTCAATCCAGCACATTAAAATTCTCCATGAATAGACATTGCTATAAAAAAATTAACATGATATGTCAAATCCAAACCCACTTTCTACATCTCCTCATAAAAAAGAAAAATGGTCCATCAAGATTCTACCTCATAAAAGCATAACAAAAGTAGAATTTTAAAGACAAGAAAAAAGAAAGCAAATGGCTATGTTTTGCTTGTTGACAATTTCAGGTGGACCTCATTTGCTTTTCTCTTTTTTCCAGCTAAAAGGACAAACATAAAGTGCAAATCACAAGTAACAACAAAAAGAAGCAAAATTTTCATTGAGAAAGTGAACACAGATGAGATGAGATGAGATAATTAAATTAGCAACACTTTTATATCACTAAAACTACAACTAAAAGAATTCAAAATCTAAATAAGGACCCGATGATCGATCCGAATCAGAGGCTTTCTTGTCATTTTGATGAGCCGTTGACTTGACCGATTGACTTTGACTCTGACTCTGACTCAAGAACGAAAGGTCAACCGGTTTTGGAATCTCTGGAGGTGAAATCCCACGAATAAGTGCCCAATTTATGGATTCGAAAAACGGGTGTTGTTTTATTTCGGTTGCACCTCGTTTATACCCTAATCTTTTTTGTGGATCTTTAACAAGAAGACCACGGATCAAATCTTTTGCAGCAAAACTAATGTTTGATCCTTCTGGAAACTTTAAGGATTGCCCAACAACATTAAACAATGTCTCACGATTTCCATTTCCTTTAAATGGTGTTTTCCCATGAAGCAATTCGTATAAGAATATACCAAAAGTCCACCAATCAACAGCACTACCATGGCCATCACCTCTAATGATTTCAGGTGCTAAATACTCATGGGTCCCAACAAATGACATGGATCTTGCAGATGTAGGTTCTACAACAAGAACAGGACGTGAATCTAGGGATATGTTGTTAGGTTTATGTTTATCTGATTTGGGTTTTGATGTTTTTGAGGAATTGAAGAGACGAGGTTTGAAGCAAGAAGTAGGCTGGAAGCAGGTGGGCCCAGGTAGTGTACAAGAGGGGTCGATACATGATTGATTGAT